ACCCAAGGGGATCTTTAGAAAATCTGAATCTAATCAGGCCCTGATTAAAACTTTTTAATGGCTTCCTATTTCCTCTCAGATAAATCCAAATTCTTTAATAAGGTTAATTAACTCCTGCATAAACACTCCCACATACCCCTATAATCTAGTAAGTATCTATGTGTGACACACTCTTATTTTCGATGTCTTTTTTAAGACACGCTGGTCACAACCCTCTAACTTGATTTCACAATCTACTAGTAGGTACCCGCAGTTTAAAAAATACTTTAGCGTACTACAGTCTCACTCTTTCTTCTTGGCCTTTCCACATGTTCTTTCGCCTGATCCTCAGTCTTCCCTTTTACCTGGCAACGTCCTATTCTACTCATGATCTCAGCTCTCAAACTCACTTGACTGGCCCTCTTAGATTAGTCCCCCTTCTTCTGTGTTCCCAAATTACTCTTAAACAATAGTTAGGCTTTACTGTAATTGTACTTGCACTAACTGTTTTCCTAGACTGTGAACTCCTAGATCAAGTACCCATTCTTGTTCACCACTGAATCCCCAGGGCCTAGCCCAGTGCCTTCGACATAGGAGACACTCAATAAATATTTGAGGAGTAAAACAAGGAAATCGACTTGAATAATCTATATACTTAACCACACAATAAAATGATCAACCACTTTTAAAATAGTTATTTTCAAGGAAAATATATTATCAATCTGTTTTTTACAAATGGTGACTAAGTTCCTAGGCTAGCCTACAAAACACTGTAACCCGCAACACACTTAAGAATGAGAGGATGCGTGCTTATTTCACTCTCTGCAACGACCAATGATGATGGAACTCTCACTTCTGTAAGTAGGAGAAAACAGGATTAAAGGAACACTTTTCTATCCCTAGTTCCTCCTACAGTAAAGTGACTTATCAAATTCTGAGACAGGGGTAAAGGTCAACGTTCCAGATGGCAGATAGGCTCCACCCCAGCGCATTCACTGGCTCCCTTGGACTTGCATGCCCTCAAGGAAAGAAAGTTTTCCTTTCCATTTCAATTCTTATGAGGTAAGCTCCTCAGGACAGGACTTTCCCTTGGGCAAGAGAGACCTGCCTTGTTTTAGGTCCTACAGTTCTAAATTAAGAAGGAACAGAGTAAGCACAGATCTAAGCTGAGTTCTCCAGAAATGGAAATCAAACTATTATTTTAATAGTATTTTAATCCCCATTTGACTTCTTGAATCTGATCTCAATTTGAACAGAATCTGGAGAGAGAAGGGGTATAATTAGCATCCTGAAAAGCTTCACCATGAACAAGAGTAATCCCAGTTTGATTTCTAGGTCCTACGAGAGCAGTCAGTGAGGAAGAGCAAGGTGAGCCAAAAAGGAAGAGGAATCAAATGAAGGAGGTTTCTTCCACTTTTCCTATTTAGACATTCTTCTGGGGCAAAAATGGCTAAATAAGTTGATTCTGTCTTTATATCTTACAACTTTTCCTTCCAAATTGTTTCATTCTTGCTTTGCTTTTCTCATCTGCCAGACCCGTCATGCCATCTAAGTTCTCCACTTTCAATATCCATGCATTTAGAGACAGGGCAAGTTTTGTCCAAACTTCCAAAATGTTCCATGATCCCATAATACTTACCTCTGCTACCTCTCCTCAAGTCAAAACTCCCATTTCCTTAGTGTAGCTGATCAAGGAGAAAGTAATCTGACTAAACCCCTTCACATTAAAATAGAATAACTGACAGTCCTAGCCATTTCCATACATATGTTTCCATAGTTGTTATTTCTATGTATTTTTAAGCTAAATAAATCTATCTACAGTAATTTCAGAGAAAAGATGAGGGATCCCGGTAAGTCTACCATAAAGGGGGCAGGTCAGCTCTGATCATCATTTCCCAGGGAGCGTATCCCCATGGTTGTTCCCAATTTTCACCGTTCCCCACTTTCAGTCTTTCTCAATAAATGGCACTAAAAACTCCAGGGGCAGACAAGGACAACTTGGGAAAGCATCTGTAGTTACAGGATATTTGTACATCCAACAGGTAAGTTGGTAACAATCAGTATTAGGTTGGATAGTTTACATTTTCGATATGTTTGATGATAATTTTATTAGCTAAAACAAAGCAAAAACACACACTCAGGTTATATGCTGAAATTATCACCCTCATTCTTCTAATAAAGGCAGTGAGGTATAAAAGGATTAAATCACGTTTCCATTGTTTTATAATTTATAGGTTGCAGAGCAGGATTAGGCTGCACTTCACACACTTTTAATGAGCTGCTTATCCATTATTTCAATTTGGAAATCCTTAATTTTATTTTCTATAAAGTTTCTCAAATTTGGTAGTATACTTTTAAACAGTGACTAAGATTCTTTGCTTGACCAAACTTAAGTCAGGGCTCCTGAACCTTCTCCGAGGCCCATTTGTGCACTTCCTTGTAAAATCCAGTTTTAGCAAAAAACCCTGCTAAGTCATTTTAGCAAGAACCCCTCACCCTATCTGATCATCCTCAGATACCTGCTGAGGTTTCACATCTTCCACTATCCCCCAGGTGATGTTTCATCACTGTGGCCTGTCTTCCAAGAATCCTGTTAGGTTGGTTTGGTCCGAATACCCATTACCCCTGATGTTCTGATGTTTTTCCTTAGTAGTTTTCTGTCCACTGACTCCCATCCTGCTTCTTGGCTATAAATTCCCACTTGCCCATGCTATACTCGGAGTTGAGCCTAGTCTCTCTCCCTCACTCAAAATCCCATTCTGTGGTCCCTACACCTACTGCGGTGGTCCTAAATAAAGTCTTCCTTACTGTGCTTTAACAAGTATCATTGAATAATTTTTTTCTTTAACAACAGTCATATTAGCTCAACGTAAAAATGAGCTTGAATTCCTGAGAAGTGTCATGTCTTTTTAAGTGGTTTTTGCTATGAAAGACCTGATGCTAAATGTCTGTGTACTCAGAAACTAACCATGAAATAATCATAGCAGTGCTCATTCAGCTGTAAGTGGCTCTTAACTTCAGTGTCATAAAAAATATTTATTTACCCACCCACCTATGAACATAATTGTAATAAAACTATACAAACTTATGAAAATAAGATCCCTCACTTTGCTGAGAAGTATATGAAATTTTGAGGAGTTTGTGCTTGCCACTTATTATTAGTTTGTTTAGTTAGCCACCAACATAAATTATTTGTAATTAAAGTGATGCTGGGACTTTTCAAACTGAGCATAGACTATATGAAAATGCTAACTATAGGTAGTCTCTCTTGACTCTGGTCAGGAACAGCCAAGCCCTTCTGTGGCTTTTCTCAAGATACCAGAAAATGGAAAGGGGAAGTAAGATGCCCAAGAATTAAAAGGCAGAGTATTCTGAAAGACTTACATGGCACTTATTCAACATTTATCCAAGTGTAAGCATTACATTTTTTGATATCAGGTTGGTTGGGGTTTTTTTAGTCAATGTGAGTACCTCAATCTAGAATATTTTTCTATCAGTGAACACTAAAACTCAACAATAAAAAGCCAAATAACCCAATTAAAATACGGGCAAAGGATTTCAATAGACATTTCTTCAAAGATATACAAATGGCCAATAAGCACCTGAAAAGATACATGCAACATCCCTAGTCATTAGGGAAATGCAAACTAAAACCACAAATACATAACACTTCACACCCACTAGATGGCTACAATAAAAAATAGCCAATAGAAAATAACAAGTGTTAGTGCGAATGTGAAGAAATCACATACACTACTTGGTGGGAATGTCAAATGATGTAGCTGCTTACAAAAGCTTGGCAGTTCCTCAAAAAATTAAACATACAGTAATTCCACTTCTAGGTATCGAGCATCGAAAACGTATGTCCACACAAAAACTTGTACACAAATGTTCACAGCAATATTATACACAATAGCCAAAAAGTAGAAACAACCCAAATGTCCATCCACTAATGAACGGATAAACAAAATGTGGTATTGTGATACACCAATACAACGGAATACTAATCAGCTATTTAAAAAAGTACTGATACATGCTACAACATGAATGAACCTTGAAAACATTATGCTGTGTGTAACGTGCCAGACACAAAAAGCCACATAGCCTATGCTTCCATTTATATGAAATTTCCACAACAGGCAAACCCATAGAAACAAGAAGTAGATTAGTGTTTGCCAGGGGGAGGGGTCAAAGGGAAATAAGGAGTCACTGCTAAAAGAAACGGGGTGTCTGGGGGATGATGATCTGGATAGTGGTGATAGTTGCAAAACTTTGGGAATATACTAAAAGCCACACTTTAGAAGGATGTTTTAAGGTATGTGATATATATTTCAATTTTTAAAATTGCTCGTTTACAAAAAAAGATGACATATATACATAATATACATATAAACGTATATAAGTAATAAATACACGTCATCTCTTTCTATAAATGCACATTTGGGCTTTTAAAATTGAGGTATATTCCATATATATAAAAAGAAGAGAAGGAAAGAACACGGGGATCAGGGCAACTGCTGAGCCTCGAAGCAGGAATCTGGGGTGTGCCGGAGCCTGCCTCGCAGCATCCCCATCTGAGCTCACCTTCCACCCATCACTCTGCCACCGCCCGGGACCATTCGCCCGAGGTGGCCGGCTTTGCTCCCGGCGCCGGAGCTGCCTCCCCTCCGCCCGAGCTGAGGCGGGCGCGCGGGCCGGGTTTGGGCGCTGCCCGCCGGCCCGAGAGGGGGCCCGGGGCGGGCACGGCGGTGGGCACGGCGGCTCAGGCGGGGCCGCTCCCACCGCCCCTACCGCCCCCGCCCTCCCGAGTCCCGCCGCCGGTCCCAGCCCGGCTCCGGCCCCACCTCCCTCCAGTACCTGGGATGCGCCCCAGCGTGGCACCGCGGCCAAAGCCGAGACTTTCCCTCCATTATCACCTGCCCCGGAGCGCGGCGGCGGCAGCGGCCGGTGCGAGGAGAGGGGACCCCATCTCCTCAGACCGGGACCGAGACGCCTGGGGCGGGGGATGGAAGGGCATTCACCTAGTCCCCGGGCACAGGCGGCGGCCGCCAGCCCGCGGCTCCTTCCTGCTAGCGCGCCTCCTCACGCGGTCGCAGCCCGGCGCTGACAGCCCGGGAGCCGGCGCCCGCGGCCCGCTTGCTCCCCGCCGCCCCGCCCCGCGCGGCCGCCACGCGCAGGCGCAGCCGCGCCGCCGCTCGAGGGGAAGCCCGGGCCTGGTGATGTGGCCGCGGGGCGGCGACCCAGACTGCGGGCGCCGCGCCTCCCGGACCCTTGGCTGCGCTCTGACGGACGCCGGCCGGCAGCGGGCTGGACGACAGCGAGAGGGCAGAATTGAGGAGAGCCTGCCCAGGAGAGAAAGGCTGTGGCCTTCTTCAGCAGCCAACCCACGCACAGCCACATCACCCGCTGCTCCAAGGTCCGAACCCCCGAATCCATGACTCATGATTTGTGTTCTCAGACCAGGGGCCTCCTTTTGGCTGGGTTCCTGTTTCTTTCTTCCAGACTGGGATCAAAACCAAGGCACATGCCTTTTGGCGAGCGGCAGAATGTGGGCGGTGCGTGAGCCGAGGTCCAAGAGAGCCGAGGGTGGACCACTGAGGGGTAGGTTTAGAGCACCCCGTCGCCCCCTCCCGGTGCCCAAGAGGTGCAGGAGCAAAGTCCATGGGGCTCCGAGGAGTTGGCTGGGGTGCCAGGCTTTTCAAGTTCGCCCACACTTGCTTTTAAACCTAGATAAAACTGAGCCAAAGTCTGAAGTGGAAGTCTAAAAGCTCATTTATTTTGTTTGACAACTATTTATTGAGCGCCTGTTGTATTTGGTTCAGGTAACGAGATATGCCCCAGGGATACTCCAGTGAACAAAACAAAAGTGTTGGTCCTCAGGCACTTATTCTGAGGGGAAGACTGTTATTTTAAAAAGTACACAGCCAGTGCCTCTTTACCTCAATTAAAGCTTCCACCGATTCCAAGTCACACCAGTGATTTACTTAGTAGCAGCTTTTCTGGTACTAAAGGACAGCAGCATACATTTATCCAGTTTTATTCCTTCTGCTTTGCCATCAGACTTTGAGCTTTAACCTTCACCTTCCGGGCGAAGGGTCCTTCTGTATCACTCTTGGCCACCTGCAGTAATGCTTTTTATTCTGGTGTTTTTCACTGCCTACAATGAAAGTATAATTGCAAGAAATATGGAAAAGCAGTGTTTTGACTGCATTTCCGACTGGTTTTTGTTCTTATTCTTTTTTGAGTTACATATCACTAGAAAGTAATGAGCTACCTTGTAAGTTTGCCAGAAGTTCCAGCGCATAGGTGTTCCTCCCCAAGGTCATGTAGTCCTTCACGATTTCTACATGAGCATGTATAGAAGACTTGAAAATTCTACCACATTTTTTCTGAGAAAGCTGATGGTTTCAACTGCTCTTCGTCTCATTAGTTGGCATGTGGCAGGCAACCTTCTACTTTCATTCTTTGTTCCGTATGCCACAATGCGGTGTATATTTTTGAGATACATTAAGCTTCAAGTTCAATCCAAATTTAAATTTCAGCCCTAAAAGTTACTCAAGTTGAAACCAGGTGAAGACATACCCCCTTCTGAAAAATTAGGTTCTACTGTGTGCAGGCAATAACAATCATGTTTCTACTTCATCTTCTGTCTGACAGCTGGCAACTTAAAATGTGACGCAAGTGGCTTAGAATGAGACTGTGTAGTAGTCACTGTTTTGATGATTGATAGAAAAAAGGCCTGGGAGTTATGGGAGTGTATAACAAAGGGAACTTTCTGCTCTAGGGGGTAAGAAAGATCTCCTTGAGGAAGTGACATTTAATCTGAACATTGAAGAATAAGGAGGAGAAGGCAGGCAACAAAGAGCAGGGGGTGGGGTGGGGAGTGCACGTAGCTGGGGAAACTGCAGGTTTGAAGGCCCTTTGCTAGGAAGGGCTCAGCCTGTTAAGGCATTGGGAAAAGGCCACTGTGGTTAGACTGAGAGGGCTAGTTCTGAAGGAGAGGTGGGCGGACCCTTGAAGGTCATGCTGAGGACTCCGGAATTGATCCTAAAGACAAAAGGAAGCCACTGAATTGTTGGAAAGGGTCCATCTGGACAGGATCAGAATTGTATTTGTGAAAGATTATTCTGGCTGCAGAGTGGAGAATGGGTAAGAAGGGAGCAGCAGAGGATGGGGGAAGACCAGTTTGCAGCAAGTGAAGATTAGAAGATGGTGGATCTAAGAAAAAGATCAGGGTTAGAATTGTAAGGACTTGATCGACTGCATATGGAAAGTGAAGGAGAAAAGAGTGTCAAAAAAATGACTCCTGAGTTCTAGGTTGAGTTTATTCCATTCCCTGACCTGGAGAATGTGGAGGAAGAGGTCGGAAGGGACAACTTTGAGTGGATTTAGATACGTTGAGTTTGATATCCCTATGAAATGTCCAAGTGAAGATGCTGAGTATATATTTCAAAAATAAATCTGCAACTCAAAATAGAGATCTGTACTGAAATGAAATCAAAATTAAATTTTAGGAGGGCAAGTAATATGACTTGTTTGTAAGAATTTAACCTCTTAACTGTAGAGGAAACCTAGGCAGAAGCAAAGGAAACCTAGTATTTGCTATGTGTGAAACACTTCACAGAGATTATTTATTTTAATCCTTATACCCTATGAAGATGGTATTATAGTCCCATTTTTCACATGAGGAAACTGAGGGCTAAATCCTTGCTCAAAGTTACTCAAATTCCCAAGCCCCACCTCAGATCCGTTAAGTAAGAATCTGTGGATAATTCTGCTGATCACTGAGGTTTAAGAACCACCATGTGGACTACTTAAAAGTAGGCCCACGAGCCATATAAAATCACCATAAAGAAAAAGTTTAGAGAAAACCGTCATTGAGAGGACAGGCAGCCCATGCGGCAAATGTTCCAGACACATGTCCTAGTTTCTTCCCCCAACCCCTATAATCAGTGCCCTTCCTGGAAATCTCTAGAATATTAATTTGCTCATTCATTTAGTAGTTGTTATGGGCCTCTTGTGTGTTAAATATGAATCATCATTCATTTATTTACAAATATTTGTTGAGCACTTAACTAAATGCCATGCTCTGTCCTATACTCTGGGAATACAGTAGTAAACAAAAATGAATGCCTGCCTTACAGAGTTCATGTTCAAGTGGAGAAAGACAATAAATAATCAAATTGAAATATGTGTATATATATATATATATATATA